TCTGCTCTGTTTATGAAACGTCAGGATCACACGAGTGGGCAACACACCTAGAAGTGTAGGTCCTGCTTTTGAGTAAACACATTATGTTCTAAGTTTCATCTACAGTGTTACCCACACAGGGGTCTGATCGTGTGGAGACGGGCTCTGTGTAGACGTCCAACCAGAAGATGCTCCCGTGGCCATGCCAGGAACCAGGCCAGCGGCCTTTGCTAAATGCAGTGATCTCATCCCGTTGCCTCCCGAGTCTGTGCCGATAGGAATCGGACATCGCTTTCCCACTAGCTGTGGCCGTGGCCGTGGCCAGTCCAACCTAACTCATAGACGGGACTCCAAGGCCTGGGGCAGCACCTGCCGGGCTGGAGCAGGCCACCTGCTCTCTGCTGGTCCACACCCCTCCCTCCTCTCTCCTCCCCCACCCAAACCATATCTCACTCAAGTTATGAAAGCACATGATGTTTCCCTTACTTTATAAATGCAATAGAATCCGCAAATCAGCCTTCCAATATGTGAGCCTTATCTGTAAAAAATATTAACTTCTCTAAGATTTGGTAGGAAAACACATTTCCGAGAGATGCTAAGGACAGGATGCGTTGAATGTGCTGAAGAGCATACGCTGCAGAGAAAGAGCCCCCACTCGGCTTAGCTGTGTAGGCGAGTTGCAGGAGCTGAGTCTCCGTCTCTGGAGTTGGCCTTTGTGGAACCAATGTCCTTAGATAGATGGGTGACCAAGGCCCCTCAGAGAAGCATTTTACCGCCAACTCCCCCTTGACTGCTCACCTGTGTGCTCCATACATGTCGGGTTAATAGTAACGAGCTGAGAAGTCTCCATTGCCTGCCTTGAGCTCAACGCAATAGCTCATCCCTCCAAATACGTATTGTTTTATGCGATGCTTCTTCCTCCCCGTGTTTTCAAGTACGTTACATGCCCTCAGCTTCCGTCCCTAAACGGTGTCGTCCCGAACCCCGTGCTTTCCTGCTTGACGTGCAGTCCCCGGGAACTGCGACCCGCCACCTGGGGGCGCGCCTGAGCTTTGCTTAGTGCCGCCTGATGTTGTGGAATTTTACAAGGACAGGAAACATGACTTCTCTTGCTTGCTGGCAAAGCTATATTGTGCCCACGGCATGTTTTTGGTAGATGTTTCCAATGAGGACAAGTGCTCGATCTGAGAAAAAAGGAACATAAGGGAGATGAAAGCTCAGTACCAGAAATACAGGACACTGAGGCGAGCTCCCTTCCGCCCCTGCCCCACACGCGGAACAAAAGGAAAGCGCAGCTCGGCCTGTTTCCAAGGCGCCTCCGGGCAGACGCGCCCGAGGGAAGTGACGGCCCTGCCTGCGGTGGAGGGTCCTGCCCTTGCCCGTTGGCTTCACACATAGCCCGCAGTTCCTTTTGTGTGTTTTTCCTGCCAAATGCTGAATTATCTGGTTGCCTGTTACCTTGAACCAGTTTAGCTTTCAGATGACATCCGTACAGCAAACAAGGATTCGTGGAATCAGCGGTCCGTAGGGGAGCCATCCTTTCCTCCTTCGGTCCCTTCCTGCAGCAAGTACCGCCCAGGGCCTGGTGTATCAAAGAAATGCCCTAAGGAGCGAGAGCGCTGTTCCCTGAGATGATCAGGGAAGGTCCTGTGTTCGAGATTGGGACAGGAGGGGTCTTTCATGAGGGAGTGGAACTTGGGGCCACAGTGAAAGCCAGAGATGACATGCACACGGCTGAAAAGAAGGTGTTTGGGCAGCAGGAATAGAGCACATGCAAGGGCCCTGTGGTCAGTGAATACGGCACATTCAGGGAACTGAAAGACTGCTTCGTGTGGCTAAAATGTGAGGGGGGAAGGACCCAGTGAAGAAAGGTGACCTTGAAAGACGACCACAGGGCCCAGACACTGGGGGGAGGAAGCAGGAAGGACCGGTTAGGGGCTCAGTACAGCCAGCAGGTAAGAGATGGTGGGGCCTGAGCAGGTGGATGTCAGTGAAAGTAGCACGAAGATCAATACTGAAAATAGAGTATCGATCCTTACAAAGAGCTTCAGTGGTAGGTTTTTTTTTGGTGTGTGTTTTTTGGCTAGGCATCTCCCCACCCCCCTTTAATTTCAAATGTGAATTATCTAGTCTTGCCCCACAGGCGCGCTGAAAGCTTCCTTTCGTCTTAGTTGTTTCCATTCCCATCTAGCGAGTGATTTTCGTTACTGTGGCGTTTCTAACGTGCCGCGTGTCCTCTCTGTCCCCAGTGTTATCATCACGACGGTTCTCTACCTGTCAGACGCGCTTCGGAAGAACTTCTTAAATGAAAACTTCGACTACAAGGTCAGTATCGCTCACACCACTGTCTGACTTGGGCCAGGAGGTTTCCCGTGCTATGCAGGAAATTGCCCCACGTATTTGTTTTCTCCTAATCATAGGAAAGCAGATGTAGTCCGGCTGCCTCACGTTAATCTTGGGCCGCCTAGGCTTTCGCCGTGGCGGGTTCTAGGAGGGTTTTCATTGTATCTGTGAGCAAGTCGGGGCCCGGCTCCGGCGCCCCCTGGTGGGAATCTCGGCGCCTGTCCCGTTACCGGCCTGTTTCACTCGCTCTCCTCTGGGCGACCCCCAAGCATGACAGAGGGGACTCAGGACATGACGTTTTAAGACATATCTTAAGATAGAGCTTATATGAAGAAAACATATAAAAGTAAACCCGTTCCTTCTTTTACTTTTCCACTTTCCCATTTTTCAGAATAAATTAGTGAGAAGGAAAGGAAAGACCAGGAATATGCGCTAAGGCAGAACTTGGCGTCTGTAATAGAACGTGACGTGCCTGGGTCGCTAAGAGCCCTTGACCGCCTGTGTTTTCAGTGGCCAGCGGTAAATGGTGCGGGGATGGCGAGGCCTGTGCTGACGCCCTCATGAGGCCTTGTTTTGGCATCTTTCTTTCTTACTCTTTTTTAAATAACATTTTCCACATTAAACATTTCATCGAATGCCCTTGTTGGATAACTAGAAACTACAAAAGCAAAACCAAACCACAAATACAATAAAAAAAAAATGGAATTTTAATGGTTGCATAATATTTCTTTATATCGTACTTTATAATAATTAATGTATCAAAATTTCATAACCAGAGCTCTACTTTTTAAGTTAGGTTGTTTTTAGTCTTTTGCTCTTATAAATTACTCTTTTTATGTACATTCTTTTTTTTTTTTTTTTTTTAATATATCTTTATTGATTTCAGAGAGAGGAAACGAGAGAGAGAGAGAGAGATAGAAACATCAATGATGAGAGAGTCATTGATCGAGCCCGCAGCCCGAGCATGTGCCCTGACCGGGAATCGAACCCCGATCGCCTGGATCCTAGGTCGATGCTCAACCGCTGAGCCACGCCCGGCCAGGCTTTTTATGTACATTCTTAAAAAATAAACTTGGCATGTGTCTCTAATTGTTTATTTGAATAAACATTCATAAGTGGAATTACTGAGTTAAAGTTGTACCAGTCCGTTGATTACCTGGATCTACACCAACGCTGGGAGAGACAACTTTTTTTTTTTGACAATTTGATAAGAAGTAAAACCTTTTTTTGCTCTAATTTGTATTTCTCACTAGTGATTAGTTATAGATGAGTTACTAGTTATTAGTTATTGACCAGTGGTTGACTAACATTCGTATTTTGTGAATTGCTGCTCTGGACCTCTGTTCTTTATTTTGCTGGGGTCCCATCACACATTTTAGTTGTGAGAGCTCTTTGTATATGAAAGATACTGACCCTTTTTAATATTTCTCCTATTTATTTTTAATTTTGCACGGTGTCAGTAGAGATGTAGTTTCCTGTTCTTATATCCTACATGGTTTTGGTTAAGTTTATTGCCAGGAATTTTATTCCCATCTCTTTCTGAGGCTGTTTTGGGGTTAAGAAAGCTTTGACTGAAAATATTTGTCTGAATTTAAAGAAATTAGCATTTCCAAAGAAATGTATGCTTTAAAAAAAAAAAAAAAATTATTCTACGTTGAAAGGAGCTCCAAAATTGAACTCACACAGGAGTAAAGTAATTCACCTCCTACCCCTGCCTCCTTGGAGATGCTGAGGTTATAAGAGAAACGAAACACGTGCCGTTTAGCACATACTGGAGAGCTCGTGAAAGCGGGGACACAGCGGGAAGCTATAGAGGAAGATAGTATTTATTCAGTTGGCTTCTTTGTTGTGGCAAATTTAAAGCGCATGTGAAAGTAGAGCGAGGACCGTCAGGAGCCCCGTGCACCCGTTTCCAGCCCCTGCTGTTAACAGCTCGGGACCAGTCTGGTATCACCTGCATCCCCCCCGCTTACCACCTCAGCAGTGAGTCCAGCTGTCGTGCCACGTCCCCCGTAATGTTTCTGGAACCCCCGCGGGTGACCGTTTCCTCTTGTTTCAGATCTGGGATTCCTACTTTTACCTCGCGGTCATTTTCATAAACCAGCTGTGCCTGCAGCTGGAGATGTTCACGCCTTCCAAAAAGAAAAAGGTATTAGAAAAGTAAGTACCCGCGTGTACCCAGGAGGCCCCGCGGCATGGCACGCGGGGTGCCTTTTACAGGCGGTTGGGCAGGTGATTCACAGGTCGGATGTCCAGGACCGGAAATTGCCACGGAGAGGTCACGACCGAGAGGCCGAGTCGCAGCCTTTCCTGGGAATTTCAATATTTTGAACTTACTTAAATATTTTTTTTTGCGTGTCCTCAGTCTTTCAGGATTCAAAATTACTACTGAAGTGAAAATTATGAGACAAATCTCTTTTACGAAAGGATTTACATAAAGATTTGAATGAGAGGCATCGAGGCATGTACATTAAACATTGTAATTAAACTCACATTTATTGCCTTTTAACTCAGACCGATAGATTGTATCCTAAAGAGACGCAGATCCGTCTTTGTTCTGGAGACCTTGTGCCAGGTTCGCCTTTTGTTCTGTTTCAGGTACGGTGACATGCGGGTAACAATGGGCTGTGAAATTTTCAGCATGTGGCAAAACCTCGGTAAGTGATGAAAAGAGAAGCCGCCTGTGTTTCACGGCTCATCCCTGGGCTTCCCCGTGTCCGGATGACGAGGGCCCTTGACCATGAATGTCAGCGTTTGAGACCAAGTGTCTGAATCCGTTTGGGTATCTGCACAAACTGATGACACTTTGGCATTGGATATAGTTACAGCTAATTCTTTAAATTGGTGTCTGTCTGAAAAAAGCCACCTCGTCTTCATGGGTTTCATCATTATTCAAGGACAGATTTTATAATCTAGCATCGCGGCAGTAATAACACAATTTCACAAGGTGCTGACCTTTGGGAATTTGAAAATTTCTAGAACCCTGAATTGAGGCTGCAAATCCCAACAGGTTTAGATTAAACTTCATGAAACTTGACGTGGGCATCACTGCTCTTCAAAAAACTTGAAACCATTGGCCTATATCGTGCAGAGTAGAGCCAAAGGATTTAAAAGCGCCTGCAATTGTTAGGAACTATTAGATGCCATTTTCTCAACTAACCACAGCAGAGAGAGCTTATGATTCCAGCAAGGGGATGGCGCAGGTCTGGTTACGTAGAACGAAATAATATTTGGAAAGTAGACTGCTTCAAAGCCTCGCTGGCGTAGGGTTTCTGTGATTTTCGTGCGTAATTTGGTGTGTTACTTACTGCATTCGGTGTGTTAACTGTGCATGTTCAGAGTGTCCATTCACCGCCGCAGTGCGGTAAGTCCTGCTCGTGGTTTGTTGAAGGGATGGGCCTGTTTGGATTGAAGATGTAATGACCTGAAAGTGTCATTTCTTTTGGGCTCGCCCCAGCACAGCCTGGCGATGGCAGGGTGTATCTTCTGTAAGTGAAAATAGAAGCCTTATCACTTGGCTTCCACAGAGTGAGTCACAGAGTGAGTTTTCACCAGGATCCTGCGGTTCTCGGGTATCCGTAGCCATCTGAGGAGGCCTTGGGATGTGGATCATCGAGCTCAGTGTTCGGTGCTCTCCCGGCTCGTGTAGGCTCTGGCCCAGGCTCGGATGAGAAGGCCAGGGCGAGGCGTTCGGGTGCTGGCATGTTGGACACACGGCCGTTTCCCCTGTGGGATGCATTGCAGCGTCGCGGTGAGCGGCTGTTTCTACGTCAGCCTTTCTCCAAGTGCATTTAGGCCCAGGAACCCCAGCTTGCTCAATAAAGCTGCCCCTTGAGGCCCCCTAAAGATGCCACTGCAGGTCATCGGCTTCACCCCGCTGTTTCGTCTTTCAAACGGAAGTGTGTGTAACCCTCTGGGTTTTAGGTTACACGAGGCCTTTGTTTTCCTGGGAAATCTCGAGAATGTAGAAACCGGGGGCGCATCCTGACCCCGGGGTGCGTTGTGGTGTCAGTTCTCTGGGACAGTGGCACTCAGGACACCAGCAGCGAGCGTCTCCCAGAAGCTTGTAAAGTACCAGGCTTCTGGTCCGGCCCAGACCTGGGGAAACAGAGTCTCGGAGGGCGGGCGCGGCGGCCTGGCTCCCACGTCCTCCAGACGCTCTCACGCAGTTGGTGACGGACTGAAAGGCCCTGCTGTCGGCGACACGGGCCCGTCGTTGCCTTTCCAGCCCAGTGGACTGGCCCAGCACGGCCTCGCAGCCTGTGGCCGACGCTCATCACACTCACTGCGCCCAGCCGCCGATCCCCGCAGGACCGGGTTCAAGGACAGGGCGAGGCGCAGTTTCCCCTTCGTTCCGTGGTTTCTGCCTTATTTCCCCAGAGCTGGGTCCTGACTTTTCTGAGACGTCCAAAGCGCCGGGTGCATTTTAAAGGTCGTTGCTGTTGTACCACAGCTGGAATTGGGAAATGTTCAGAAGTGTGGGCGACTCTTCGGTATATTCATGTCCTAAGTCCAAGGACTGAAAGTGTTCTGTTCAGAGGGGGAGAAGGCAGGCATGTCCCCCCCAATTTTATACCCTCTGCATACACTTGCAGAGAAAGGGGTCCGTCCTCAGCACTCCGTCCCACTCGTGAACCGGCTCTGCCGGTTCATTCTCCTATTTGCAGTTGAACTAACAGTGCAAAGCGGCTGTTTCTTCCACGCTCGGGGCACAGCATCTCCAACTGCTGTAGAAAAATCCGTACTTTCCTCGCGGGCTGCCTGTGTGCACAAACATAAAACTCCGGCAGCCCGAGTCGCAGGTGCCCCGGGTCCTTCCAAACAGGACCGGGTGGCTGACGACCAGCCGGCGGAGGTGTCCTCGGTCTGTCACCTCCAAGGAGGTGGTTTCAATGGGGTGGATTTTGCTGTTGACAGACAGTTTTGCTCAAGCTTGTGCTCGGAAATCTTGTTGACCAGACGCACTGAGGCACAAGTGTTTCGCTCGATTCAGGTGAGCACAAGCTCCGTTTCATCCCTGCCCTGATCGGCCCCTTCCTGGAGGTGACCTTGATTCCACAGCCCGACCTGCGGAACGTCATGATCCCGATTTTCCACGACATGATGGACTGGGAGCAGAGGCGCAGCGGCAACTTCAAGCAGGTAGGCGGGGGGCGGGGTGCCCTCGAGTGGGTGGAGACTCAGCTCTCTGCGTACCTTGGAGCTGCCAGGTTCCGCTCTGAGTTGGGACACAAACCCCGAACCAGCCATCAACAGGCCATACCCCAGCCTGGCCCAGCTCTTCCCAGCCAGGTGGCCTGGGACACCCCTCTGGTCCTACATTCCCGGAGCCTCTGGGAAGCCCTGAAGAACCATTTTATTCCATTTCAACTAAAAAAATTCTGTGATTTTCCCAGGTCTGTGTTTCAGGACAGAGACTTTCTTTGCTCTCAGTTGGACACAACACAGGGGAATCAGGAGGTTAATGAGCCTTGACACCATTGAGCTCACAGTGGTCGGCACGTTGAATTTGGGGAACGGCCTCCCTTTGCCCATTCGATGCGCCATGTGTGATATTGCTCTTTGCTGAAGCACTGAGAATTAGTGTACAGGGGAAAGCGGCGGAAATGTTGAAAGGAAATTCCAAGGAGAGGAACCGGTCATTTCTCGTTGACATAGGTTCTTAGAGCTCTGGTCCAGTTTTGGAAAGATACGTGTTCTATTCCAAAACCAGATGCATAAGGAATCGGCTGCTTCTGTCCTGCCACTCACTCAGATTGCAGGTGCTAGTTCCTGATCACGCAGTCACGGCCCTCACCCGCAGGCACTCACCGCAGGCACTCACCCGTGGACGCTCACCCGCGGACACTCACCCGCGGACACTCACCCGAGGACACTCGCCCGCAGGCACTCACCCGCGGGCACTCACCCGCGGACACTCACCCGCGGACACTCACCCGCGGACACTCACCCGCGGGCACTCACCCGCGGGCACTCACCCGCAGGCACTCACCCGCAGGCACTCACCCGCGGGCACTCACCCGCAGGCACTCACCCGCAGGCACTCACCCGCGGACACTCACCCGCAGGCACTCACCCGCAGGCACTCACCCGCGGACACTCACCCGCAGGCACTCACCCGCAGGCACTCACCCGCGGACACTCACCCGCAGGCACTCACCCGCAGGCACTCACCCGCGGACACTCACCCGCAGGCACTCACCCGCAGGCACTCACCCGCGGACACTCACCCGCGGGCACTCACCCGTGGACACTCACCCGCGGGCACTCACCCGCAGGCACTCACCCGCAGGCACTCACCCGCGGACACTCACCCGCAGGCACTCACCCGCAGGCACTCACCCGCGGACACTCACCCGCAGGCACTCACCCGCAGGCACTCACCCGTGGACACTCACACGTAGACTCTCACCCGTAGACACCTGTGCTTTCAGCAAAGATTCCATGTTACCTGGAACTGTTTTGAAAAAGAAAATAGAAAACACATCAAAGATTTAAATGAATGTTTGTGGATCTGTTTCTTTGCCAATGTTCCTATATATGCATGGCGATTTTTTAAAAAGAAAAGAACTTGGACTTGCCAGTGTTTATAGCTAAAAAAAAAAAAAAAAAAAAAACTAAGT